TAAAAAAAAAAAAAAAAAAAAAAAAAAAAAACAATTTTAGGAACATTTGTTTTTTTAATAATATTATTGTTATTAAATTATTATAGAAAAATAAATAATAAAAAATAATTGTATATTTTTTATTTATTTTCTTTAATTTTACTGTCTTAATAGCTTCAAGAATTCTAGCATTGTAAAATTTACCACATTTTTCTATTGTACCTTTATTATATAAAAAAAAAAAAATAAAAGAAAATTTTATGAAATATAATTTAATAAATAATAAGTAAAGAATAAAATAATTATAATAAACTCATATGAAAATAAAAGATAAAAAGTTTATTTATTACTGTCAATAATTTTTTTGTGAACTTCTTCTAATTCTGAATCTCTTAGTAAAGACATGTTTTAGTTAACATCTTTATATTTAATTATCTTTTTTTTTTTTTTTTTTTTTTAGTAAATCCTTTAATACTTTTTTCTTATTTATATTCTTCATACACTTTTTTTTACTTCATATATATTTTTTATTTTGTTTTTTTTTTTTTGTATTTTTTATATTCATTCATTAAATTATATTTACCTTTTGTATTAAAAAAAAAATAAAATAAAATATAATTAGCAAAAGTATATTTCTTTTGCTTAATCATTCAAAATTTTAAGTTATATATATTATTTTAATTTTCAGAGAATATATAAAAAAAAAAAAAAAAAAAAAAAAAAAAAAAAAAANAAAAAAAAAAAAAAAAAAAAAAAGATAAAATATCCATAAATATGTATATTTCAATTTTTATTTTTATTTTATTTTATTTAATTTTTTTTTTTTTTATTCATAACACATGATTGAAAAAAAAAAAAAAAAATAGTAAATATAAGTTTATTTCACAGTTTTGTTTTCTTTTTTTTTTTTTTTTTCACTGTTTTTCTTTAATTTTTTTATATTTACACAATATTAAAAAAAGAGTTATTAAAAATTTTATAAACTTATTAAAAAAATGAAATAAAGTAGTTAAAATAGTTCCATTGAAAAAAAAAAAAAAATTGCATCTTTTGCAAAATAAAAAAAAAAAAAAATTAAAAAAAACAATAATACAATTATACTTTTCAATTTAATTTATTTTTATTATCATCAATTTAAATAATAATTATGAATAATATATATTTTTAAAATTTTTTTTTTATAATTATATATATATAAGTATGTATATGTATATGTATATATATATATATATATATTTATATTCTTACTACTTTTCTCTTTTTTTATCTTTATATAAAAATTAATCAATTAATTTTTATTTTTAGTAAATAATATACAATGCAAAAGACTTATAAAAATAAAAAGTTTACATATTTATATTTTTAAAATTAAGAAAATATCTCTTCATAATTTGTATTATCAACAACATTTGTTAAAAATGAGTAAGTAATAGTATCACAAATAAAATTGTTATTATTACTATTTCTTAATAGTTGAAATAATTGCCTACTAATTATTTCATTTCTAAAAAAAAAATTAAAAAATAAAAAAAAAAAAAATAAAATATTTTATAAAGTTAATGTATTCATTTATTATAAAGAAAAACTAATATGAATATTCATTTATTTATTTATTTATTCATTTATTTATTTATATATTTATAAATTTATTTTTTTTTTTTTACTGAAGTAAATCCTTTGAGATAGATAAAAGAGATGATTTAGATTGTAAGGCACAATTATTATTTTTTAAAAATAACATATAATTATAATCTAGAAAACATGTATCTTTATTGTCAATATTTACATAAGTACATTTTTTAAAACTATTACATTTATCTTCATTTTTTGAGAAATTGTAACATTCTACTTTATCTTCACTATTCATTTTAATATCTTCAAATATTTTCTTTGATAATTCTTCATCACTTAATTCAAAAATATTATCATCAAGAGTATTTTCATTGGAATCTTTTTCATTTACATAATTATTATCTAAATTGTGTTCTTGTATTCCTTTTTCTGAATCTTTTTGTAAGTTGTTTAAATCATCATTTTCTTCTAAATTATTATCTAAAAAATTATCTTCTAAATAATTATTTTCTTCATTTTCACTAGGAATATGCATTTTAATTTCTTGTTCTTTACTTTTATTATTTAAATCCTCTTCATTATTTAATCCATTTTCATTTTGAGTAATTTCTTCAAGTATATATACATTATCTCCGTCAGTTAAAATTATTTTTTGTTTTTCTTCATTTCCATCAAATGATCTCGAAAAAATAGCATCTATTTCTTCTTGTGTATTTGCATTATTTTTATTAATAGAATCTAAACTTTGAACTATATCATTTTTATTTTCATCATGCAATTTTATTTCTTTTTCATTACTATTTAAATCGTCAACTAATTCATCAGAATTTTCTTTTTCATCAGTTGTACTTCTTTCAATTTCTTTTGCTTTCATAACTTTTTCACAAAAGAAAGGAGAACAACTTTCTTCCAATTCAATTTGAAATTCATCACTACCTGATTTTTCTGAATTTAAATTATCTAAAAATTGTAAAGTGCTATTATTAACTACATCTACTATGAAACTATTATACAATCCTGATAACATTTGTTTTGTTATAAAATCCTTATTTTCTTCTATAAGATTATCTTCTTTATTTTCATCATTCATATTATTTTTTTTTAAAAAATTCTTTAAAGAAGCTTCAAACTTTGTATCATTATTAAGAAATTGGTTATTTCGTGTGTTCTTTATAGTATCATTATAATTTAATCCATTAATATACTTTTTAAAGATGCATAATGCAAGTAAAGCATTTATTAAAAAGAATTGCATTTTTAATAACATCTTTCAATAAGCAAAAAAAAAAAAAAAAAAAAAAAATTAATAATTCAAGAAAATAAAAAAAAAAAAAAAGAAATGAAATATAAAATAAAAATATTTATATGATTTTTAATAAAAATATAATACAGATAAAATTTCTGAAAATATAATTTAATTTTATATATTAAGGCAAAAAAAAAAAAAAATAAAAATAAAAAATAAAAAATAAAATAAATGTATTATATATATATATGAAGTGAAAAGTTCTTAATTCAATGGTGCTTCATATTATAAAATTTAAATTATATTTTTATAAAACTTAATGATACTTTAAATATATTTTAATTTAAAAATGTTTTGTTTCTTTTTATTTAAAAAATTATATATTATATCTATACTTAAAATATGTGTTTTTTTTTATAAATGTAAAAAAAAAAAAAAAATAAAAAAAAATATATATGCATATATATATGTATATATTTTTTTTTAGCATATGCAAGTATATATTCTCTTAAGTGTGCAATAAAATTATCTTTTTCTATTTTTTTTCTCGTTTTTTTTTTTTTTTTTTTTTTTTTTAATTTCTCATTTTAACAAAAATAAGATATTAAAAAAAGGAAATAAATATAGCAATAGTTTACATATAATTTTTTTTTATTTATATATATTTAAGCATGTATATTTACTATTTTCAAAAATACTATATTCTTAACATGCGTAAAATATATTCTTCAAATTTTATATTTTAATTGTACTGCATTCATTTATAAATAATATATATCCCACTATTAAAAATATAAATTTTTAATATTCATAAGAATTAGATTAATAAAAGAATTTTTTTTTTTTTTTTCAACATTTACATATCATAAATTAATAACACGCTTCTTTATTTATTTTGAACTTTTTTTCTTTAAAAAACCATTTTTTCTTTTTTTCTAAATTACCATAATATATATATATATATATATTTACCTGAATATATGTTCACTTTATATTTTCTTTTTATAACAATTTAATAATAACATTATGAAAACATAAAATATCCTGTTAATGAATGTTTTGTTAAAGTTGTTAACATTGTTGTTTATTATGTTTTATTTATATTTAATTTGTTTTATGCGTTTTATTTTGATTATAAAGTTTTGTCTTTTTGTTATTTATTTATTCTTTTTTTTTTCTAATTAATTTACAATTATTTATCATAACCATTAAAGTTATAAATGCTCTTTTATGTAACTATTTTTTTTTTATCATTTTAATCAAATTTAAAAAAAAAAAAAAAAAAAAAA